AATTCAAATCCTCATAGAGCGTTCTGTGAAAGTTAACTAAAAATGTGGGATGGACGCCACCTTCGGGCCAGCCAGAGTGACCTCCATGAGTCCTGACAGGGTCTTGGAGAGGTAGGAGCCACTTAGATCTGGTTTTAGAAAGGTCCCAAATGGTCATATGTGGTATAGATTAGAGGTACCAAGACAAGACCTGGGAGCTAAGATGGGAAGCGGGCAGCCAGAGAGATGGGGAGGCACTAGGAGGATACTGGGGTGAGCAGGCAGGAGATAAGGTGCAGAAGAAGTGACCTTGTGATGTGAAGGAGTGGCTGTGGAGGCTAGAGGCTGCCATGTCATGGGGCTGGGTCACTGCAGGCCCAGCAGCCAAGGAAGGCTTTCTGCTGATGGGTCACAAGCATCACTGTGAGGGACAGGAAGCATTGGGTGTGGGGCAAGAGGAGGAGGAAGGAAATTCCCAGGAGAGACCACCAGGAAGGGAGAAAAAATAATATTTTGTTCCTACCAATGCATAGCTGACAAAGTATCTTGACACACACACACATACCCCCCTTGCTTTGCATTTGTCCCTCACAGCATATCTATGGCCTCCCTGTCATCATCCCCTGCTCACTGAAGAGGGATTGAGACCCAGAGAGGTCCAGAAACACTCTAGACTCACACAGAGCCAAGTTCACCCTGAACCCTTGGTGCTATCTCAGCTTGGGCCAGGCTACTTGTACAGTAGCCCAGACCAGCATGTCCAACACCCAGGCTGCGCCCTGACCAGTGACATCAGAATCCCTGAGTGTGGGACCCATGCACCAGTATCTTTAAAGCTCCCCAGGTGGTTCCAGTACGCAGCAGGGGTGGGAACTGCTGCTTTATATGCTAGGCACAGCCTCCAAGTTGCTGTTGACCCAGAATGATTATTAATAGCACTCGCTTTCACTCTCCAAGGTGACCCAATTTGGAAATTGAAGTATATGATTGTCCCTTCTTACAATCTACAGAAATAGGGAATCACAGGATAGACTTATTTTTAAACTCTTTAGTTACATTTTCAAATAATAGGCTCAATAGGGTTTTCTTCAATCTCTAGACACTTTTTCAGGGGAAATTCCCCTAAATTGGGTTGGCAAGCTAAGGCCCCAAAGTCCAAATCCAGCCCACTGCCTGTTTTTGCAATAAAGTTTTATTGGAACACAGCCACACCCACTCATTTCCGGCTTACCTAGTGCTACTTTCTGCTACAACAGCAGAGCACAGTACTTAAAACAGAAACTATATGGCCCACAAAGCCTAAAACGTTTACTATCTGGCCCTTTACAGAAAAAGTCTGATTTGCCTGTTTATAACATTGAGTCCAGTTGTTAAGTTACATTATATCCCTGGGTGTCCCAAAAGATGGGTTGGGAAATTGAATGACTAAGGTCAACCATGCCAGCAGTCAGCCATGCCTATGTGACTGACCCCCAATAAAAACCCTTTTGCTTGTTTAATAAAGTCTGAGGGGAGACTTATCTACGGCTGCCACACATTCAGCACAGGTGTCCAGAGGTTCCTGTAGTTTGAGGGTCCCCAAGACTAGCCTCAGTTTCCACGATTTGATAGAAGCACTCGCAGAACTCAGAAAAGCTGTTATACAGTTATGACAAAAGGATACAGATTAAAATCAACAAAGGAGAAAGGCATATTGGGCAGAGTCTAGGAGACATGAGGCACAAGGTTCTAGTTGTCCTCTCCCAGTGGAGCCTCAGGAACAGTGCTTGCTTCTCCCAGCAAGATGCATGAACATTGGCAGCCAGGGAAGCTCACCCAAGCCTTGGGGACCAGGGTTTTTACTGCAGGTCAGTCACACAGGCATGGCTGACTTCCTGAATGGCTGACCTTAGTCATTCAATCTCCCACCCCTTTAGAGGTCAAGTTGATATATGGCGTGGCCCAAGGCCCCCATCATAAAATCACATTGTTAGTTAGCATAGACCATCTGGAGTGGCCCAAGTCCCCCAGGTAAAGAAGGGCATTATTGCCAGGCAGGATATACCAAAGACTTAGAGGTTACCTCCTAGGAGCCGGTCAAGGGTCAGACCTTTCTTTGGAATAGGCAGGGTGTGGACAACCCAGACGTGATGAGTTAATTCTTTACTGCATAATTCCTCTTATGGGCCGAGCTACCTGGTAAGGAATTCCAAGGTAACACCAGTGCCTCTTTTACTGCAACAGGCTCAAGGTCAGACTGCAGGCTCAGGCCCCAGCACACCCCAGCCACCTGGGCAACGCTGACACAGCCCCATGCCTGGTCTCTACTCCATACTTATTAGATTGAATCCTCCAGGGCTGGGGCCTGGACATCAGTACTGTAGATTGTATCCTAGAGATTCAATACTGAGACAGGCTTAAGAAGCCCTCGGTATGGGCTCTGGGACCACCCCTGTGGACAAGGTGGAGATAAGTACAGTGGAGAGATGTAGATGCAGGGAGGATGTTCTTCCTAGAGGGTCAGGAAAGGATGTGCTACTTATGCCGGGCCTGGGGGAACCAGCAAGGTTTAAGTCAGAGGAGGGGGAGATGTAGAGATAGAGGAGCAAGGGGACACTAGAGAGGACAATAGGCTGGAAGGAGAAACAGAGGCTTAATCCCCCAGAGCCTTAATCCCCCAAAACCTTTAATGCCACTGGACTTGGTTTTGTGGCTAAAGGGCATCTAGTGAGGCTCTTTGGTGCTGGGCATGTCAGGCTCAGAGTTGTGTTCTAAAGAAAGTAGTCCCTTGGCCAATGCAGGCTGGACTATAAGAAAGGTGGGAAGAGGGAGAGGACAGCCAGGGCAGTAGGGACCTGCTGAGCAGTCCTGGGAACAGAACCATCCATCATTAGTTCACCAAATACTCATTTCATGCCTGCTACACACCAGGCCCCATTCTAGGCACTGAGGGCCCAACAATGAACATCACACAGTGCCTGCCATTGTTGGGCTGGCAGACAGGGAGAGAAGCAATCAACAAACATACAGTGTGTCAGGTGAAGCCAAGTACTATGGAGGAAAATACCACAGAATAAGGAGTGTGGGGAGTGAGAGTAAGAAAGCTTTCTACAAGAGAAGAGTGCAGAGGCCTCTCTGATAAGGTGACATTTGAGAGAAGTGAGTAAAGTGGACGTTGGCTGGGGAAGGGGTGGGAGAACATTCCAGGGAGAGAGAACCACAGTGCAAAGGCCCTGAGGTTGCCATGAGCATGATAGTGAGAGCGGTATCAGTGGTGCCGGAAATATGGGGGCAGATGTGAAGACATTTATAGAGAATCAACAAGATTTATGGCTAGTTGGACGGTGGGTGGATGATGTGACTTCGGTTTGGTTTAAGGCAGGGGTGCTTAACACTTGCTACACTTTAAAATCATGTGGGGACCATTTAAAAATTCCAGTGTTCGGGCTCTGTTATTCTGTTTATCTGGAGTTCAAAAGCAAACAAAACCACCCAGAATGTAAGCACATAATACAATTTAAAACTGGGCAAAAAAATATAAATAGACACATCACAAAAGAAGATATGCAAATGGCCAGTAAGCCCATGAAAAGATGCTCAATATAATTTGACATCAGGGAAATGCAAATTGAAAGCACACTGAGATACTACTATATACCCACTAGAAAGACTAAAATTGAGACTGACCATACTAAATGCTGACAAGGATGTGGAGCAACTGGAACTCTCATACACTGCTGGTGGGAATGGAAAATGTTACAGTCACTCTAGCAAACAAGTTAGCAGTTTCTTATAAAACTAACATAAGTTTACCACCTAACCTGGCATTTCCACTTCTATGTATTATCCAAGGGAAATAAAAAAAAAATATGTTCACACAAAGACTTTCTTGTATATGAATGTTCATAACAGCTTTATTCATAAATGCTGACAACAGAAACAGTTCAGGTGTCCAATAACAGGTGAGTGTGTGAGCAAACTGTGATATATCTACACAATGGGGTACTACCCAACCATAAATAGGAATGAACTAATGATGCACGCAACAACACGGATGAATCTCTAGAAGGTAGTACTAAGCGCGCGCGCGCGCACACACACACACACAGCAAAACAAAACGAAAACAAACCACAGAGTACCCACCATATGATTCCAATTATATGAAATTCTAGAAAAGGCAAAACCATAAGTGACCAAAAGCAGACCGGAGTTTGCCTGGGATCGGGACTGGCAGGGAGACTGACTGCAGAGGGGCACAGAGGAACTTTTTTGGTGTGAAAGAAATGTTCTACAGCGATGGTGGTGGTGGTTTACACAAATATATGTATTTGTCAAGACTAGTTTTCACACATAAAATGGCATATTTTAGTGTCAATGAATTATACTTCAATAGAGCTGATTAAAAAGAAAACAAAACTCCTCTTTAATGGCAGAGGTCAGAATAGTGGTTGGGGGAGGGGGGACAACTGCCTGGAGAGGGCATAAGATAGCCCTGCTGGAGGATAGGAAGTACCCTATACCTTGATCTGGGTGGTCACCACAGGGATGTATACTCATGTTAAGATTCATTGAGCTGTACCCTCAGGATTTATGTACTTTACCATGTGTAAATTATACTTAATTTTTAAAAAGTAATGATGTCTGGACCCCACTCCCAGAAATTGAGATTTAATTGGTCCAAGGATGTTGTGCCCAAGCTTTGTTATATTTTAGGGGCTCCTAGGGGAGTCTAATATCCAGCCAGAGTTGAGAGCCACTGTTTTTAGAGACAGGAAGGAGGGCAGTGTTGAGTCTCAGCTCTGGGGAGTATTCTGATGCCTTTGCAGTCTGGTGGCACATTCAGGGCTGGGGAGGATGCTCAGCTCAGCTTTGGCTTTTAGGGGATTTGAGGTGAGGGTGAGTCTTCTGAGCTTCTATATGGACACCACAAGGCTAAGCTGGGTCCTCCAGACTTGGAGGCTGTAGACAGAGCTGATAGTGTGCTGAGTACTCTCGGGAAATGTGTACTTGGTGGGGTTTCTTTTCCTACTCCTAGGGCAAGATGGCAGCAGATGAAGGTGCACAGGACACCTTACGTCTCCAGTTCAAGGCCATGCAGGAGATGCAGCACAAAAGGTTACAGAAGCAGATGGAGAAACAGAAGGAAAAGGAACTGAGCCTCGAAATCAAAGTCGATGACCAAAAAGAGCCCTTGGAGATTTCCGATGGCCTCAGCCTTCTCCAACCTGGGGATCAAAACTTGAAAAACAGCTTTGAGCAGAGGTAAATGCAAGTTTGAACTCTCCCAGGAGCACTGGAGGGAGGTAAGGAGGGAGGGGACGAACTGATCACAGACCAGTGGGCAATCAGGTTGACTAGATGTGTGTTTACAGGTTGAGCCACAGAAGTTTTGACACAGGTTGTCAGACTTGGGTCTGATAGATCTGTGCTCCTATGGATATATTGGTATAAACAGTATTTAAAAATAATTTAAAGTCAAGTGGAAAATTTGAAGCTCATCAGGGTGTAGTTTATTCACTTGAATTTTCTTATTCAGTCTCTCTTTCATGAAAATTTTGTTTGGGTTTCTGAGGAGCTGGTTGGCTAACTCTGATGGTTCATAAATGATCATTGCTCCAAATTCTCATCTGGGATCATTCTTCTATGCCAATTTCCCTTTCCTGACACATAACAACCCATAAACACACCTGTGTAAAGAAGCTCTTGATGGGTTCCTTGGTTCTTCCATGGTGAAGAGGTTGAAAGGAGTCCAGAATCTTCTCATTTTGTTCTAAATTCAACAATATCACAGGTGCATGTTGATTTATACTTGCTATTAGAAGCAGAAGGCTATGTTGATACAAAATTCTCCACTAATAAAAAAAAAAGAAAGGAAAAAAAATAAACCACAATTGTTGTTGAGTTGTCTCTTTGCTTCTGGTTTGGCCCAGAATCTATCTTCTCCATTTTCAGGTTCTACTTTTTATGGTTTCTCAATTTTCAAAATGTTCTACTAAAAAATGCTAACTGGGAAAAACATACAGGTTGCTCAATAATTGAAAAAGTTCCTATGGCTCCTAAATATTAGCTCTAAGTTAACCCCAGACCTATTTCCCAATGATCTTTCCCCAAATCAGAGAAACTGGAATTGGTGGAGACTTGAGCCATTGGTAGAATAACAACACTAATGATAATATCAGGGGCGCCTGGGTAGCTCAGTTGGTTAAATGTCCAACTCTTGATTTCGGCTCAGGTCTTGATTTCGGAGTTGTGAGTTCAAGCCCTGCGTTGGGCTCCATGCTGAGTATGGAGCCTACTTAATAATAATGATAATAATGATAATAACAATGATAATGTCAATATCAGCTGTTACATAATAATTACTGTTCCCTCTAACTTCTGTAACTTTCTTGCTTCCCCCCCCCCCCCCAAACGCCTGTCCCTAGGGAGCCCATTCCGTGCCTCACAGTAGAAGTGATCACAGGCCCATCAGTCACATGTTTCTCATGTTTTAAAGTGCTGAAGAGAGTCCGGCAAGACAACTTATAATAAACAAAACCAACAACCTGCTCTGATTTTCTGTCAGAGTTACCTGAAAACTAGAGGCCTAGCCTTAAGACTTAGGCAATTCCTATTTGGTCTTCTAATATGTGTGTATATATACATATATGCAGTTCTGACTATCAATGTCCTTCTGAGTATCACTTTAGGTGCATGTCACAAGCTTTGATGTATATTGCCGCTGCAGTCATTCTGTTCTAAATGCTTCATAATACACATTACAATTTCTTCTCAACCCATATATAATTTAGGAGAGTGGTTTTTGTTTTTTTAGTCTCAGACAATGGGTTTTGGGGTTTTTTATTTGAATTTTTGCCACCTTTTTACTATTGATTTCTAATTTTAGTCAATTGCCATTAAAGAAAATGGCCTGAATGATTTCCACCATGTGGAATTTGCCAAGATTGCCTTTGTGGCCTATAATATAATACATTTTATCCATATTCCATGGATGCGTGATGGAGTATGAATTCTTGGAGAGGGGCAGTCAGTTATATAGCTCTCTCTTAAGTCCACAGTAAACAATGTCATTCAAACCTTTTCTCTCCTTTCGTGTGTGTGTGTGTGTGTGTGCGCGCGCGCACTCAGTTTTGAGAACAGTGTGTTAAAATCTGCTCATTGGCATTTTTCTATTTCATACAGACCAGTCCTTACCACCACCTAGTGTCCGACCAGATACAACACACCTGGGCGGGGGAGACCTGACTCCCGCCCATCATCAGTCCCTGTAACTCTGCCTTTGCCCTTACAGGATGCTTGAAGATGAGATTGCACACCTTCGAGAGCAGCTCAGGGAGACGGTGGATGAAAATGGGCGATTGTACAAGCTGCTGAAGGAAAGGGACTTTGAAATCAAACATCTCAAAAAGAAAATAGAAGAGGACAGATTTGCCTTCACAGGTAGCTCCAGCGTGGCTGCAACAGTCCCTGCCTGGAAGTGCCAGTAGCTGGCCCAGCCACTGTGGAGCCCCCTGGGCGGGGCAAACAGCAGGTTCCAGAGGGCAGGTGCTCGAGGGAGAGTGCCAAGGGCCAGCTGTGGTAAGTCTTGTCCAGATGAGTCCTGGAAATGAAGGAGCGGGTGGAGGAAGAAAGCCAGCCAAGGAGGCCAGCGTACCAGGAAATGGGAGCACATGAACAGCAGGGACAGTCTGCAGGCCTTCTGGGCAGTGTTGGTGGCCCAGCTAGGACTCACGACAGGGGTTCTCCATGGATGCTAGCTGCGTGTTGTGGGCCAGCAGGGTCCATTTGATCTTGCTGCTCAGGCTCAGACATTATATTATGGATGTGAAAAACCCCCAGTGAAAGTAGGCATTTACTCCACAGCACTCCAGAGAAGTGGATGGGACAGGGAAGGTAGCTGTTCTAAGGGGATTTCCTAGGACCCAGTAGGGTCTAGAATGGGGCTTGGCCCTTGAGGTCTGGACTGGACTTTGGCTCTGTTGGTAGGGACGTTGGCCTATGGGCCTGGAGATGACCTTAGCTCTGTGGGTGTGGGCTGGACATTGGCTCTGTGGTTATGAGCCAGACCTTGGCCCTGAAGATCTGGTGGGGACGTTGGCCCTGACTGTCCTGTTCCACATATACCCATTGAGCAATTCCCAGGTAGCTGACTGAAGCAGAAAATTGGTGTAACTGATCACAGATAGCAGCGGGCCACAGCCGGCATCTGCCAGAGCGTCCCTCCCTGCCTTTGAGAGCCAGTCTCTTTAAGGTTCGGTGCATGCAAAGCACCAAAACTGAATGAAAAAGCAAAGGGAACTTGGTATCCTAAAGGTCCTTGGTAGCCTATTGTGTCTCTCTCTGTTCTTTGGGCCTTTCTGTCTAAAACGAAAACCACACTGAGGAGAAGGACTCAGGAGACATAGAAACACACCCAGCCTGGCTCGGGTTCAGATGTGGAGGGGCAGCTTGCCCTTCAGCAGGGCTGTATAGAAGCCGATGAGCTACAGGGGGGAAGCAGGGGATGCTTCCTCACCCCCGGAGACTGGGGACACGGGGGCCCCTCCCTCTTGCCCAGCCTGTCCCATGCTCTCTCTTTGTCATCTCTGCCAGCCTGCTCATGGCCTCATCTGATTGCCTAACTCTTCCTCAAGACCTCTTGAGCCCAATCCTCGCTGTGCAGTCCCCATTTCTGATTTCCAACATCAAGTTTGGAAGAGAAAAGTCTGACAGGCCTGGTGCATGTTTTTAGACCAGGCCACAAGTGATGGGCTGCTGACAGCTGATGGACTGGTTTTCCTTCGGCTGGATTTTTAGTGATTGCTTTAATTCTATTTTTGTTTTTTTTAAAAAAAAAAAAAACTCTATTTCTTTGTATGAGTTTTTAGTGATTGCTCAGGTGATCACAAAATACATAACTTTTCACAGTCTACTTAGAATTAGCATTTTACCACTTCAAGCAGAATGAAGGAACTATCACCCTATTGGTCCCTTTGCCCTCCCCCATACAGTGCAGCTTTTATATGTGTTATATCTCTATATATTGAAAATCCCAACAGACAATGTTATAATATTTGCTCTCAATCATTACACATAAAGAGCCTAAGGAGACAAAAATAGTCTTTATATTTACCCACATATTTAACATTTTTGTGCTTGTCCATTCACTGCTGCCCCCTTACCATGGGGTTACAGCTTCAAGAGTAGGGCTTGGGAAAGCAAAAAAAAAAAAAAAAAAAGATTTTTCTTGTTTTCTCTGAGTCCCCCTTCCTGCCCTTTAGACTAGAAAGGGCCTAGGGGCACCTGGGTGGCTTAGTCAGTTAAGCATCTGCCTTCGGCTCGGGTCATGATCTCAGGGTCCTGGATTCGAGCCCCACGTCTGGCTCTCTGCTCAGCAGGGAATCTGCTTCTTCCTCTCCTTCTGCCTGTCTCCCCAGCTTGTGCTCTCTCTCTCTCTCTGAAATAAATTTAAAAAAATCTTTGAAAAAAAATAGACTAGAGAGAGCCTCTCTTGGACCTCTTCATGATGTCTAGTTCTGGGATTTTTGAGTCCTGGAAGGAAAACATAACCCAGAAAACTCACTGCTGGGCCCTGTGTACTTCTAGGTCGGGCTTCCCTCCCCATGTTCTGAGCCCTTTCTCTTGAAGCATCCCCGGCCTCTTCAGCAGCCAGAAGGTGGCCAAGGGCGGCTGCCCTAGTTGCCCTACTCAGTGCCCGGCCAGGCCAGCAGCAGCAAGCCCGGGCTGAGTCGCTCTGAAAACCATCAGGCATCCTTGTTTACCTTCCACCAGTTGTCACTCTCAGGCTGCTCTGAGGCTCATGATGGTTGTATTAAAAAGCAGGCCTAGGGAGGTGTCTCTGCCAGTTACCCATTGCTGGAATGTCAGAAGCATTCAGAGAACTTCCAGACCCTCTGACCAGATCTGCTGTTGCACAGCTGGGCCGGGGGGTTCTAACACCACCCAGTCAGTCAGTAGCCAAGCGGGGCTAGCTCCCATTGCCAGCCATCTGCACAGCCCCATACCATTCAACCTCCCACATTCACACCCTTCCAGCTACCTCTTCCTCAGCCTCCTGCCCTTGCTCACTGTGTTCCAGCTACTCTGCCCGCCAGATGGTCCTCAGATACTCCAAACATATGCCTGCCTCTGGACCTTTGCACTTGCTGTGTCCTCTTCTTAGAATACTCTTCCTAGTTGAGAACACTCTTCTTGATGGCTTGACCCCTCACTTCATTCATCCAGGTCTCTGTTCACATGGACTTCCTCAGACAGGCCTTTCCTGACCACTCCATCTAAAATAGCATCACCCATCCCTCTCACCCTCTTGCTCAACTTCACTTTATTTCATAGCATGTAGTCCTCCCGATCATTGGAATACATATTTATTTGCTTTTTTGTTATCTGTCTCACCAGCTACAACGTAAACTCCGTAAGTCTTTTTTATTCACCATTAAATCCCTAGTACAGAGAGTGCCCAATACTTGGTGAAGCCCAATAAATATTTACAGATGGATGCATGCGTTTGTACTGACTAGATGTCACCACAAAACTCTGTGTAAGAAACCAGCACATAATATCAGCAGCATTCAGCAAGAAGCATCAAACATCTGGGGTTAATTGGGGCTTGGCAGATCTAGGCCAGGCCCGGCTAGGGCGGTTCAGCCTTGTTCCACGTGTCTCTTCCTCTTCCTGGGACCAGCCAGCTGGCCTGGCTGTGTTCTTGTGGAGTTGCCACGAGTGAAAAGAGGGGGAGTTAACTGCCCAAGTGCTTTTCAAGCCTCTACCTGTGCCTTATCTGCTAACAACCCATTGACCAAACAAGTCATTGGCTGAGCCAGAGTCAGGCAGGCATAGAAGGGTTGAGAGGGTACCTATTGGCTGGAGGGCATGGCAGAGTCATAGAGCCTAGGGTGTGGACGTGTAACCCTGTCACTGAGGAGGGCATGAAGAATTGGGGCAATAAACTTATATCCCATAGAAGTAAAATTTACACTTTGCTGAGTGGCTGCATTTCTACTCATTGGAGTTGGGTTTCAGGGTTCCCAGGTATGCAGTCACTCCCCTGAGCCTCTGCCCTTTCATGAGGGTTCTAGCCTTTAAAACCCCAGGGCCGTTGGTAGTGTGGCATGAGTTTGATGTGCGGGCCTGTTTCCCTGACCTCGCTGTTTTTCTTCATCGTAGGCACAGCCGGTGTGACTGGGGATGTGATTGCCACCAAAATCGTCGAGCTGTCCAAAAAGAACCGGGTGCTGACGGCAGAGTCAGAGGGCGCGAAAAGCAGAGTGAAGCAGCTGAGCAATCGCGTCCAGGAGCTGGAGCGGGAAGTGAGGGGCCTTGGTCATTCCTGCCTCTAGAGGGGACTCCCAGGACCCTGGGCCACTCCTCCAGAGAGGGAGTCACACTTAGATGCTTTGGGTCCTTCTGAAGGGCTTGTGGGTCAGTGTTTGCAAAGAGTTCCTCAGTCTTTGTCATTTCCTGAGAGGGGGGAAAGTGTGTCAGGAAGCAAGGGGGACACAGCGCACAGGGAGGCAGCCGTCAGAGTGCTTAGGACACAGATCCAGAGCCTGACCTGGGTGTGAATCTCAGCTCCATCACTGACCTGCTTTGTGACTTCGAGTAGGTTATAAACACACTGTGCCTCCGTTTCCTCCATCTGACATATAGCAGTAATAACAGTACTCACCCTAAGGTTTTTCTGACCATTAAGAGACATAACAGTGTAAAACATTTCGACCTGTGCCTGGCATGTAGCAAGCACTAGATAAATGTTTGTTACCTAAATTAACAGGGATCCTTGCTAGTGTGAAGCTAGAGCCAGGAGCACTCCAGCAGCTGGTCTCACGTTTGCCCATCTTCCTCTTTCTGCTGCCCCCCTGCCCTCCCACAGCTAGTCACAGACCCCCAGTCTTGCAAGGACACAGCCCGAGCAGTTCATGGTCCCTTCGGAGCTGAGATGGAATCCACGTGCTAGAGAGAACCTATGGAGCTCCCTTATATGGCTGAAGAAGCTGGAGCTTGAAGAGGGTAGGGGGCTTTCTAGACTCACACGGCACGTGATGGTGCTGCATTGCTATTTCAATTCTGTTGCCATCTGCAGTCCTCCCCAGATGTTATGCTGGCCATTGAATTAGAACTTCTTTATTCTATAACAAATGGTTTGAGAACCACCTCAAGCTCTGTGCCAGGCCCTATGCGGGGAGCAAAATAGGCATGGGCCTTGTCCTCCTCAGGGGCAGACCCAGCACCCAGGGCCTCTTAGAGGAGGGGGCGCTCACAGTGGGTCCCTGGAGGGTGGGAAGGGGCCACACTGGGAAAGGTGGGGGACGGCCCCCGTGCAGAGGGCCCAGCAGGCGCCAAGGGTCCTGAGTGGGGAAGAAGGTCTTAGAGGAATCCCAGGTGGCCAAGAGTAGAGGAAGATGAGGTCAGAGAGGTGGGAGGGCAGGCCACCTCGGCCTTGTCAGACATGGTCTGGTCTTTGTGTGAACAATCAGGAAAGCTTTAAAGGGGCAGTTGCCTGTCTGTATGAAGCCCTAGGTTTGCCTCCCTGCCATGAGCCCATGTGGCAGGTTTCTTAGCATCTCTGACCCTGTCTTCTTATCTACCACATGAAGTCCATTATCCCTTTACGCTACACCTCCCAGACTGTGGACAGAGCTCCAGGATACAGACCACGGCTACAGTATTATGTATGAAGCTGTTAGTTAATCCTAGTGTGTGACTGGGGAGTGGGGCAGACAATCGATCAAACCCTCTCCCACCGCAGAGCAGTTTGTAGGGGAGAGTTCTTCTGTTAATGGTCCTAAAGTGAGCTCTCGACTCAGCAGCTGTATGACCTTGGGCAAATTCCTTCACCCCTCTGGGCCTCGGTTTTCTTCTTCCTATACCATGGATAACGATAGGTGCTACCCCACAGGGCTGAAGGTGAACCAGCGAGATCAGTAACCACACCCTGCGGCGGCATGAGCACCGCACTCAGGTACCACAGTTGCCAAGCAGAATCCAATATTAAGTGCAAGGTTTGCTTTTCAGCTGCAGGCGGCCCTGGCCAGGCTACCAGCCAAGGCGACCACCGATGCGGGAGCCAAAGCATCGAGGGCTCAGATGGGAGACAGAGCCCTGGTATGAATTCTCATCTGTGCTGGGGAGTCTGTGGGCCTGGGCCTCCTGTCCTCCATGGGAGTGTAGGCGCCTCCGTCCAGGGTCCACCCCATTGCTGTGCCAAGCCCACCAGTGCAGCATCCTCAGCGTGGTCATCAGGGAACAGTAACCAAGTCTGTGGCCTGAGGCCAGGAATGCCCCAGTGGAGGCCAGTGAAGGTCTAACCCTGATTCAGTCCCCAGAGAGGGAGAACAGGAAGGGCCGGAGGACCCTGGAACCCTAGAATTTCAGGACCAGCAGGGAAGGCCTGGTCTAGCTGGCCTCCCATTGTCAGCCCAGCTGCATCCTTTACAGCATCCTCACTGGGGAGACATCCAGCGCCTTACTTACCCCAGGGACAGGGAGCTCACTCCTGCCCAAGAGAGCCCTGTTGGGGGTGGGGGGACATTTCCTATTGTGAGAAGTCTTCCCTTTGTGGAACTCCAAATCTACAAAGTCAAAGTGACTGTTGGGAATGGCAGCTTGTTCCCAATTCCATTCTACTCGGCCAGGGAGTAGGGCCTGGAACCCAGGAAATGGGAATTGCGGTTTCACGAAAGGAAGGCAGTCTGACCCTGTGGGCTACTGGGGAGGACCACGGAGCCCATGCCAGAGGATAAGTAGCCTCAGAGTCTTAAGAACAACCCAGGAGGCCTTCCCAGGGATGTTCTTGGAAATAGAGGGAGTCAAGCCTTAGGACTCCCTGTTCAGTGCTCCTTTTCTAGCTCTACCTCCCTTTGCCTACAACTCAGGGTCAAGCCACTTCATGCCTGACTTGGGGAGAATTCAGCCCTCAGTCTATAGTGATAGGCCCCTAGGGCTCCAGGGGGGCGAACCTAGTGGGGTGAAGGTTAGTCTTGTGTAACCCTGTCTCATTGCTGGGGAGGCAATGGAGGGGCTCTGCTGTTGGCAGGGGCTGTTCTGTAGGACCTTTCCTGGCTCCAGGGGACACTGCTAAGCTGCTCCCGGTTTACCCAGAACATGGAGCATTGTCATGTCCCTGACTAGGCTGCCATTAATGGGAGGCTGCTTGCTCAGTCACTTGTCGAGCGCGATAGGATTTTCTGAGCCCTGTGACACAGGGAGTCAAAGACAGGGTCTGTGTCCACAGGGGAGCCCAGGAGGGGAGATGAGTAGCCACACTGAAGGAAGGAGGGGGACAGGGCCTTCAGAAAGAGCCCCAGGGCCTCAGAGTTCACAGAGAGAGCACACCCTCCCTGTGAGGCAGCTAGGAGGTGGGCTGGAGGAGGGGGTCCTGAGGTGGGCCTTGCTGGAGAAAGGGGGATGGGGGAGGGCCCTCCAGCAGGAGCAGTACAAGCCGAGGCTGAGAGGCCGGGGAGCACTAAGTATTCCTATTCTGTTTGCTAGCTGCGTGTGGGCTGGACAATGTTTGCCCACAGCCCAGGGCCTGCATGGGGGAGAGCGGGGGAGGGGAATGTAAGCCAAACAAGGCTACTAGGGTGGGGCGACCCACGGAAGGCGGCCTTGACTGGCGGCTGGAGCTGGAGCACTCAGCTTTGCTGGTAGGCTTCTGACAGAAGAGCGGGTGATGGGCAGTAAGCCTCCGTTCAGCAGTACCGTGTGTTTTCCAGGGCACTTGGGATCGGAGAGAGAACAAAAGCAGCGTTCCCCCTCACTTCACCATTCAGGGTAGCCCAAGCCTGAACCACACTTCAGAGGCCTGTGCTCACGGCACACTCTGGCCTCCGGGTGCCAAAGCGCATTCCGGAGTGGAGCTGAATGCCCTGTGTCCACTCGGTACGGTCGGCATGGGGCTCCCAGAGGCTGTGCTGCGAGAGCATTGGCATCGTCTGTTCCCCTTGGACTGCGTTTCATTTAGTCCCTCAAAGAAAATGGCCCAGGGAAGGGGAGGGTTAGGCCCCTCCTCAAGTCCCCCACAAAGCCTGTGGAATTTTGCTCTGGGCAGAAGCAGCTCCGAGATGGCAGCGACGTGGGGTTGGCCCCATGTCCAGGAGGAGAGGACTAGGGGCTTGGCAGAGCAGAAGACCGAGAAGTGGATGGCACTGGCTAGCCCTCAGCCCCCTTTGCCAGCTACCCCAGGTCAGGCTAGGCACCCCCTCCGGCATTGCCCTCTGTCAGAATCTGCCCCAGACAGCATCCTTCATACGCACCTCCTCTCAACACTCACGGGCCCGCTGGGCACTGGTGTTAATATACCCCTATTTTTACAGATGAGGAAGCCAGGCGTGGAGAGAGGAGTCATTGCCTGCGTTATAGAGCCGGTCCCGGATGTGTGCTCTTCCCAGGCTTTGAGCAGGGTCATGGCCGTCATGTGGGACGCTCATAAACACAGCCCCTGCACCACCACCTGTCAGGGCCTGCGGGCCTCATGCACCCAAGACCCAACAGGCAGGGGGTGTTGCTTCTCAGCCCAGACACGTGCAGAGTAGCCCCTTAGCTGGGGATGGACAGGCATCCAACAGCAGGGAGAAGGAATGGCAAGCCGCCAGACAGGGGGAAGGACACACACACACACATGCACACACACACTTTTTTTTAAAGATACATTTGTGTTTTATATAAGTTCCCAGTTTATACTCTGTTCACTTGGGTATTCTGTTTAGCCTCATGGTGGTGCTGTGAAGAAGCAGGACAGAGAAGGATTCTTGTACCCGATCCATAAGTGAGGAAACCAGATGGGGTCAGACTTCTTGGACTGTGTGTCCGGTTCCCGTTTCCTCCCCCAGTGGTTTTCACCCGGGCTGTCCACAAACTCTGGGGACCGGGGAACTTCCCAGACCCAGTCTCCGTGGACCTGCCTTCCACGCCAGTGTCCCCAGGAGATTCTGTGTATGCCTGATGAAGACAGCTCAGAAAGCCACTGCAGCACCTGCCCAGCTTCCCAGAAGTTCAGCCCACCTGGTCTGTCGGGCGGGAGCAGACAGTCTTGGCATCATTGCCTGATGGGATGCTCAGCCCACCCGTGCTGCCCAGGTGCCGGAAACAGCTTCAAGTGGGAGAATCAGCTAGGGCAGGGGAAGGACCGGGCTTCTTCTAATCTGACTCGTGCCACCCCCAACCTGCTGTGTGTCCTATGGCAAGTTACTCCCCCTCTTTGGGCCTTATTTTCATCACTTACATTGCCTTAATGCGGCAACGACTCCCCTCTCCAAGCCTGGCTTCCTCATCTGTAAAAATAGGGGTATATTAACACCAGTGCCCAGGGGGCCTGTGAGTGTTGAGAGGAGGTGCGTATGAGGGATGCTGTCTGGGGCAGATTCTGACAGAAGGCATCCCTTTAATGCCAACCTTCTGTGAGCCTCAGAAACTTCTACTGAAGACTGAGAAATGGATGGCACATTTGAGAAAAATTTACATCCAAGTAGTTTAAATCAAACATTATTAAAAAAAAAAAAAGACACTGCTAAGAGTTCCAGCAGGCAGAGTTTTTGTGGTTGCTGCAGTTCTTCAAGCCACAGAAATGGAGCATTTGGCGATGAAACTGGTCCTTGTTTCTATTGAGTGAGCTCATTGCCAAGAAAGGGAGCTCAAGAAATAAGCTGATGGTTTCAGAAGGAGACCCTGAGTTAGGAGGGTCGTTGGGGGTTGCCTTCTGGGATGGAACTAGCCCCCTCTTTATTCTTCTTCTTTTTTTTAAGATTTTATTTATTTATTTGACAGAGAGAGACGCAGTGAGAGAGAGAACATGAGCAGGGGGTGTGGGAGAGGGAGAAGCAGGCTTCCCGCTGAACAGGGAGCCCGATGCGGGGCTCGATCCCAGGACCCTGGGGTCATGACCTGAGCCGAAGGCAGCCACTCAACCGACTGAGCCACCCAGGTGTCCCTAGCCCCTCTTTATTCTGAGTGGAGATGGTTTAGTTGCGGTGGCAGCCTCCAGAGCTCAGCAGAGAGTGCCCACGCCTAGGAAGTGTCTGGACGGTGTGGAGCCTGCAGGCCTCCTCCAGGAGCTCCCCCTCTGTGGCCACCACCTGCATCCCTGGATGTGCAGTGCTCTGAGCGAAGGGCTCAGGCCCCCGAGGTGGGTTGCCAGGATTCATGTCCCTGCTCCACCTTTCCCAGCCAGGTCCTCCCCACTCAAGCCAAGGGGAGTCCCGCTCCACCAGCCTCTGCTTTGCATCTGGAAGAGGCTGACAACAGAACCCCTCCCCAGAAGTTCATGACGAATCAGTGAGTTGCTGCACGTGGAGCACCTAACCCAGTGCCTGGCACAGCCCTGGCTGAACAGAGCCACGATTATTGTTACGATTTCGGCAACAAGTGACCGCTCTCTCCTCTCTCCTGCCCAACTAGCCAGAGACCCCAGAGGTGAAGGTCTTGCAGGACAGGCTGACGGCCACAAACCTGAAGATGAGTGACCTCCGCAACCAGATCCAGTCTGTGAAGCAGGAGCTCCGGATGGCCCAGAAGGTATTCCAGAGCCAGGGGTCAGGGGTTCTTGTCTGGCTGGGATTGGGAAGAGCATGGCCAGGACAATGGGTTCCATTCAGGAGCAGCAAGTGCTTGGCCCTGTGAGCATCATGCTCTGGGGCAGGCTCCAGATCCAGTAACTTCCTTCTGTCAGCCCTTCCTACAGACCACTGGTGAGTGGGTTTGCTGGCTGCCTGCGGGGCCCTTGTGGTGCCTTCCCCGCCCTGGACAGAGGAGGGCAGTGCCCTCTACCCAGGGAGAGTCCTATAGACTTTGCTTGTGCTACGTGCACCCTAGTAGATCCTGGGTCTCTCCTTAATAAGCCACCTTGGACTTGGAAGCCTGCCAAGACTTGCCTCCTGCCCTTTGCTGTCTGTAATATTAGAAAATGAATAGGTTGTTTGTGTATTAAAGGCCCCTTTCAAAGGAAAATACTCAGACTTGGGATGCAGGCCCAGCTGGTTCATTATTTATTTTTATTTACATAGTGAATTCTCTGGCATTTGTCTTCCCTGCTGGAACCACTCAGACTAGCCAAGATTTCCAAAACAGTGTTCTATTGTGGAAACAAGCACCAGAGACTCGGGATGCTAGATTGGTTCCCGTGACAGGCTTCAGAGGGGCCCGGGGCACCAGCTGGTGTGTTTTGTTTCCACCTCAAAGCCTTGAGGTAGGGCCTACACCCCACCCTTCAACAGCCACAATGTGGGACCGTTCTGGAATCAAGCCTCTCCAGATGATGTTTGGTGGTCCCCCTCCTTGCTGCACTCAGACATGGCCCCTATAGGGTCAGTGGCTTTTCACAGAGGGCAAGGCCCTGGGGCAGTGTACTTCCTGTAGCCATCCAGAAGGATCTCAGTGCTCAGTGGCAGGTGAACAAATTGAGGAAGCAGATTTTGGTCAACTTTGTGGTTCACTCATCCCAGAATATGTCAAGGGCGGAAGGCCCCATCTGAACACTGTTGGCAGTTCCTCACCTGCTGGAAGCAACACCAAGAAATGCGGGGGACGAGGGGATCACTTCTTTCCCAGGGGCCGCTGCTCTGAGAGCACGGTCAGCTGGCCTTTGGGGCAGGAGGAAGGGGTGCAGGCGGGGGCCAGGCCCTCTGGGAGCCCCATGCACCCAGCACCGCCTCTAAGGATGCATTGGTTTTAGGGTTCTGGTGGGGGCCGTCTCTCCTGGCCTCGCTGAAGGCCCTCCCTTTTTCAGGTTTTGACCAGTGAGGTCGGGGAAGATGTGAATGTCCAGCAGCTCCTGTCCTCCCCGGGGACCTGGAGGGGCCGGGCTCAACAAATTCTCGTGTTGCAAAGCAAGGTGAGTGAACTTTTTCTGGCCCTGAACGCAGGGCTTGAAATGCCCCGGAGAGGTCGCACCACCCCCCATGAGAGACACAGAACCCTAAAAAGGCCCTCAGGCCTGGCAGAGTGTACTTGCAGGGCTGTTGTTTGATATTCTCCCCCACCAGCCTGATTTTAATTTGTTATTTGATGAACAAGCATTTATATAACACATACCACGTGCCAGGCACTGGTGCTTAACAAATGCCAAAACCTTTGATTTACTGTACTCTAGGCATATTTTTTCCCCTAGTTCATGTAAATTCGCATGACTGTTGTACTTGCCGGCTTTTTCCAGTTTTGTCCAGATGCTTGTAGACTTTTGAAAGTTTGAATTACCCAATAAAGATGTAGCCTTGTCCCCCTCTTTATGCTCTAAATATTTTGGAGCATCTCTAGAGGCTAAAAGCTGGGGCTCTGGAGCCAGGCTGCTTGGATTCAAATCCCAGCTCTCGACTCAGCAGCTGTATGACCTTGGGCAAATTCCTTCACCCCTCTGGGCCTCGGTTTTCTTCTTCCTATACCATGGATAACGATAGGTGCTACCCCACAGGGCTGATGGGAGGATTGAAAGTCAATATACGTCAAATGGCCAGCACAGTACCTGGCATGGAGCGAACACTGTACAAAGGTTTTTGTGGTTATTTTCCTCTTTCGCCTTCAAACCAAGAAGCACACGAGTAGGTGTGTAACTTACCCTATTGGCCAAGCACATGGCCTTCATCCCCAAGGACTTCAAGTTCACAGTTCCTGGGTAGCTTTTATCCTTGGGGCCTCCTGTGGCATCCTTGAAGCCAACACGAGGGAGGGGAGGGTGTCCAAAACACCGTGATTAATGACCGATGTGTGGCCTTGGGGTTTAAGAGACCCCAGTTTGAGTCTGGTCTCTGTCGCTGGTCTGTAGTTTCGGTGACCTTAGGCAAGTCACTTCGTCCCTCTGCACCTGTCTCCTCACCTGCAAAATGGAGAGTGTTGTGGGTTAAGTGAAATAACATCTGTAAAGCACCCAGCACAGTGCCCAGCCATAATAAGCACTCGACACATTAGTTGTTATTGTCGTTAAGCTGCGTAAATAAATGATTGAAAGTTTCATACTGTGTTCTCTAATGGTTAAATGGAATTACCACACAGTGCCACACGAGGGCGCTGATATGTGCTTTCAAAACCACGCTGCTGCCCTTTACTGGGAATCCTAGTGAACTTTGCCCGGGCAACTGTGTTCCATCATTTATGTTGTATCAACATGGAAACCAGAGTTAGAAGGACCCTTGGAGTTACTCACTTCAAACCCAGTGCAATAAAGCCATCGTTCTGTGGGCTGACATCTACCTGCCACTTGCCGAGAGCCTATGAGTGCTAGATGGTGTGACGAGGGCTTCACCTGGGCCATCTTGGGGTTTCTCAAAGTTGCCTAATCCTAAAAATCACCCATAGGACTTGTTTAAAATGCAGGTTCCCAGTCCTTCCCCTGAAGCTCTGGCTTGTTGGCCTGGAGTGGGCCCCAAGATTTGTCATTCCAAGAAGCATCTTGGGGGTTCCCAGACTCAGACAAGTTCAGGATACTGAATCCTTATACCATTATGTGGTATAAGGCCCATTTCACAGATGAGGGACCTGAGATTCAGAGAGGTTAAGTAAGCTGTGCACAGGCACACAGCTGGTAAGCCTTTGAGCTGCTCTCTGAGATTTTAAACCCCACCCTCCCTCTGCAGCATCTCCTGCAAGTGGCCAGGAACCCATGGTCTCCCAAGGAGCGCGCCCAGTCTTGGGTTAGAGAGTTTGTCCTTGTACTGAGCTCCTCCATCCTTTCCCTCCCAGGTTCCTGGAATCACACCTCTGCTTCTTGGTCTCACATAGCCCCTAAGTGAGGGGGTGATTTTTCTCATTCTCAAGCTAAACCTCCCTCCTGTCCTCCCCTGTTTTGCCCAAGATGCCACCTCAGACTCCTCCCCCACCTCCGTGCCCCTCACATGGGGTTCCTGCCTCCATCTAGGACAGCTGTGGCCTCAGTCTAGTGGGCCTTCCTGTCACACCTCAGGGCAGCTCCTGAGTGGTTGAGTCTGTGAGGGCAGGCCCACCGCGGAATGACGAGTTTTACCACCCTCAGGTTCGCGAGCTTGAGAAGCAGCTGGGACAGACCCGAAGCCAGTCTGCAGGAACATCCCGTGACAAGCCGCCTGTCGGTCCAGACCCAAGGAAGCTGTCGGCACAGGAGAAAAACCTGCTGAGGATCCGCAGCCTGGAAAGGGAAAAGCAGGAGGGCTGGGAGGTAATGCATGTCCAGGGAAGGGGTCAGTTGGGCACGGGGGACCGGGAGATCGTGACCACCTCTGCAGGGCCGTGACGATGAGCTCTGAGCCACCCCTTAGAGGCAGGAGACCCCTGGGACTTGGGGTCACCTCAGTGCCTCTTCCTCACATCCTGTCGGTCCAGCTGGAACTGCCTGACTGGGTCGTCAGCCCATTTCATGAGCTTCGGGTGGCCCCATCCTGGCTGTTTTGGAGATGCTGGACCTGAAATTGTCACTGTAGAAGGAGAGGAGGCGGCCAGGGCCCAGAGGGATGGCCCAGGGACAGGGTTAGGTGGGGCTCAGTGGAGGAGAGCTCCAGGCTGCTGAAAGGTGGGTGCTGTGTCTCACTGGCTGCATCTCACAGATCTGTGCCCAGGGTGGCGGAAGCCAAACTCTACCAGGCTTATGCGACAAACAGAATTGATTGGCCCGTGTAGATGAACGGTCTAGAGGTGGCCTAGTGTTAGGCACAGATGGACCCAGGGATCTGGGGACTTGATCTCGGTGCCACTTTTTCCGGACCGGCTTCACTCTCTCCCGTGGGAACTCCTGGTGAGTCCCAGCTTCTATCGTCCAGCCCAGCCCCCACAAACAAAGGGCTTCTCTTTCCCAGTAGTCCCAACAAAGTCCCAGAATGAAGTGTCACCCAGCTAGCTTAGGCCATGAGCCCGTCCCTGAGCCAGTCACTGCAGCTGAGGGTCCAGGCTGCTCTGACCGGCCGGGCTTCTCCCCATGTCTGGGAGATGAGTGAGCCTCTCAGAAGCTGGCGTGAGAGTGGGGAGCGTGGCTTTCTCAAAGAAAATAGAGGAAGAAGCAGGACGGGGTGCTGGCAGGCTGAGAAGGCCCACTTCAGTGGCCCTGGCAGTGGGCTTCCTAACAGTGAGGCCTTACCTTTACATCAGGAGACTTCCGTTTACGAGTGCCAATTCAGGACTAGACCCTGTGCTAGGAACATTGTGACCATCGCTACGTTGCACCCCCAGTATCCTAGATCATCAGGTGTGAGGAGGGAACAGAGGGACTGGAGCGGCGGGCCGGGCCAGGTCCTCCTGGACCTTGTATGCCAGCCAGGGCTTTGGGCTTTTATCTAGAAGGAAGTGGAGAACCACCAAAGGGTTTTAAGTCATGGAGGGACGTGGACCCCTGTGCATGTTGGAAAGGTCACATGGTCAGGTGGGGTGGGGGTGCTAGGTCAGAGGAGGCTTGGGAGGCAGAGGCAATAATCCACTTGAGACATGTCTGGGGACCTGAGCCAAGGCAGTAGGACTATAGCCAAAGGCCAGACGCCTGCAACATTTGAGGGTCGACTACAGGGCTCAGTGACGGGATGGAAGGGAGATAAGCAGAAGGACGGGGAAGGGCTTCCAGTGAGTGTCGCAGTGGGGAGGGGACACCGGGAGGGGACTCAAGGGAGATGGGGAGCTGAGATTTGAAACTGTTGGGTTTAAGGTGCCCCTAGCTCAGACTTACACATCCACACAGAACAGAACATGTTGCAGTCATTTAACCAATGGTAAGCCACATTGAGGTGGAAGGAGGCTATTCCCTGTGTGTCTTTCCTCTGCTAGGCGCCTGCTAGAGCCTAGGGTATGTAGCGAGCAGAGCAGCAGGTAAACAATGGCTGCCTATGGCAAAGATCGGTGGTCTTCTGGATTCATACCTACTATTTTTCATTCTATAATTCACTTCTACAGGGATCTAAAAACACTTTTCCAATGATAACTAACCCTCAAGACCAAAGCAGATTATGTCACCCATTGCCCAAAACCCTCCTCAGGGTCTTAATCTTGGCTCCTGACAGTTTACCTAATCTGGACTCTGCCCCCTCCGACCTTGCCCCTGACTTGTCCCCTCTCTCACTGTGCTCTAGCCACACATGTTCTACCCCAGGGCCTTTGCTCATCCCTCACCTCCTTTAGTCTCTTCTCAGATGTCACCTTTCAGAGAAGCCTTCCCTGACCATGCCATTGTCCCTCCATTTCCCTTGCCCAGTTTTCAATAAGCAGAGCAACAGGTAAACAATGGTAACAGGTAAACCATTGAACATCTGTCTCCCCAGCTAGGATGTTAGCTCCTTGGGGACAAACACTCTGTTTTGTTCTCTGCTCTATCCCCAGC